CAGAATCCTTGCCTCCAAGGAGCAGCCTGGTTTAACCCTCTCTAGGATGAATCTATTTGTTTTCTTGGCAGTCCATGGTACATTCAGTACTCTTCTCCAGCACCACAGCTCAAAGGTGTCAATTCTCCTTCTATCCTCCCTAGTCATTGTCCAACTCTCTGATGCATAACAAGTGATTGCAAAAACCATGGCTTGTATCAGGCGCACCTTAGTCTCCAGAGAGACGCTGTTGCTCTTGAGTACTTTAGAGAGGTCCCTAACCACAGACTTTCCCATCGCAATACGTTTTTTGATTTCCTGGCTTCTGGTGCCAAGAATGTTGACTGTGGAGCTGAGCAAACTGAAGCTGTGAACAATCTCAGTCTCTTCACCATCCATCCTGATGCTTACGATTGGTCCAGTGGTGAGAATCTTTGTCTTCTGGACATTGAGCCTCAGTTCGTATTGAAGGCTGCAGTCCTTGACCCTCTGCAGTAAGTGCATGAGGTCCTCCTCAGTTTCAGTGAGCAGGGTTGTGTCATCTGTATAACGTAGATTGTTCTGATGACTGCCTCTTGGTCCAAGTATAGGTTTTGTTTTAGCACAATCAAGTGTTCTGGGATTCCCATTCTTCTCAGACTTAGCTACAGTTTGTTGTGTAGTCATTGAAACAAAGATAGACATTCTTCTGGTACTCCTTGCTTTCAGCCAAGATCCATCTAACATTAGCTAGTACCATGACCCCTTCTAATCCAAGACTGCACATCTGATAATTCTCTGTTGATTTGCTGTTCTAGTTGTTTTGGGATAATCTTCAGCAGAATCTTGCTCACATGTGATATCAATGATATTGTTCCATAATTTCCACACTCTGTGGAATCACTTATCTTTGGAATGGGAACAAATGTAGATCTCTTCCAGTCAGTTGGGCAAGTGGTTCTTCTTCAGGTTTCTTGGCACAACTTAGTGAGCACATCTAGGGCAAGGAATAATTTTTTTTCCTTCCTTCCAAAAATTTGTAATCATCCTTTTTAAAATTGTTTTTCACCAGATACATTGGAGCATAATAAAATCTTTTAGAAAACCTCTAAACTATTACCTTTATCTCATTGTCAGTTTTCTATATAGTATTCTTACATGCCAATAAAATAAAAATTCACTGCTGTAAGTCAATAGCAATTAGTAGTGATCCTCCACTACACTCCAAAAGGCATGTAGTTTAAACTCACTCGCTCTGCTGGAGAAGGATGGCCAGTCTCCTGTGAGATTTACTGCATCTGAGAACCTGCTGCAAGGACAGCTGTGGGTCAGTTCCATCATGACAATAAACAACATCAGGTTTCCAAAGCTGTAAATCTTTTTTGTAGGAGACCACCTATTTTTCTCCTGCAAAGCTGCTGGTGGTTGTGAACCACTCAACATCCAACCTTTTCCTGAGTATCGCAACACACATGGGAGTGCACCACCAGAACTCTCTCATAATTTTTTTTAATTAATTACCAACAGAATTTTAAAATCAGTATTGGTATTTTTGTGTTTTCTTCTTTCTTTCGGTCTTTGGGTCTCAGGAAAAGGGATAGGTCCTGTGTGAAAAACAATGTATATGAACTTTATGAACTTTGTATGCAAACCAGTATAAAACACACACACACACACACACACACACAAATATAATAAGACACACTTATGCATGCAAGCACTCGGTTGAACTCAATTTATTTTATATTCTACAAAGGAAAGGCAAAGGGATGGAAGGCTTTTCTCATTAGAGAATATTATCCACCCATCTCATTTTTCTGACAAGAGTCAGCCTAGGAAAATGGAAAATAAGAACACTAATCAGAATTGATGCTGATTTTTACATTCTAGGAAGAGGCTATAGATTGGTGACAGACTCATCCCGAGTGTGTTACTGCTGCCCCGGGCTGTTCTGGACAAGAGCAGTTGTACCCTGAATAAGACTCTTTATATAGTAGCCACACAGAAATCCAGCTGCTTCTCTCTCTGCTCTATCCCAGATGTTCTCATGACACTTATCACCATAAAATTGCTTACAGTTTTAGATGTAGAGGCATTTACTAATTTAATCAGTAGCTGATTGCTCGTCTATGTCTCACCACTTGTTTCATAAATCTGTGGCAAGCTGGATCTGGGGAAATTTCTCTCAGGAATTCCTTTGACTCAGTTATTTCTCTTTAAAGAAGACAAACTAGAGGTGTGATGTTTCCTTTTACTGTAGTTTTGGACGCATCTTGTGAATTTGTATCTTTAGAAATATTTTCTGAATTATTTTGAACAGAATCATTATTTTCACATTTAGTTATGCAATACTATTTTAATTATTTGTTGTTCAGAGATGTTACAGAGTTTTTCTACTCATAGACTAGAACTACCACAGGGTTTTTTCCTTGTCTATAATATTGGAAGCAGGAGTGATATCCACTTCCTAAGCAGCATGCCTTTGGAAACTGTGAACTTTGATAACTATCGATAGTTATAGAAGGGCTTCAGGCCGTTTATTCATAGGGTCCCTTTGAGTCATGCTCGACTCAATGGAAATCAACAACAATAACAAAATATTTATGGAAGTGAATTCTAAGTCTTTCTTATGTAGAGCTGGTTGGTGATTTGAGCTGCCAACCTGTGATTACCAGCTGAACGTGTAACTGTTATGCCCTTACCTTTGGATTATTCATTGTGGGGTTGGTTTTTTGTTTGTTTTTTAATTAATTTTACTAGTTAAAGTTGACCAGTAAAAGTTTGCCTTTAAGATATTAAGATTGCCTTATCCAAAATATTAATTTTATAACTATCCCATAACTTCTCTGAAATAATATTAAATGTATTTGCAATTATTATGCATTTTAATATTAACAATGTAACTGTCAGGTATTGTTGAATTGAATACTACTCCTTGCAACCCTGTCATCAACTAATCAGCACCCTGCCTGATCTTGTGCCATTCTCATCATCTCTGACATATTTAACCCCATTGCTGTAGTCATTGTATCAATCCTCAGTTTTGAGTGACTTTCAATTTGGGCTCCAGCATATGTTGCTTTATTGTTCACAGGGTTTTGAAAGCTTGGTATTTCAGAAGTGGATGGCCAATGGTGGTGTTGTTATGTGCCATCGATTCACCTTCGACTTGTAGTGAAGCTACGTACAGCAGCCCTAAACCTGTGCTAATCTCACTGTCTCTGACACACCTACCCCGATTAACCCAGTCAGTGAATCACTTTACCTCATAGAGGGTCTTTCTCTCCTCGCTGTCCCTCTACCCTCCCAAGCATGACATCCTTCTCCAAGGACTGAACCTTCCTTACAACATGTCCAGAGTATGTCAGATGAAGCTTCAGAATCCTTGCCTCCAAGGAGCAGCCTGGTTTAACCCTCTTTAGGGTGAACCTGTTCGTTTTCTTAGCTAGCCATGGTACATTCAATACTCTTCTCCAACACCACAGCTTAAAGGCTTCAGTTCCCCTTCTATCCTCCCTTTCCATTGTCTAACTCTCTGATGCATAGCAAGTGACTGTAAAGGCCATGGCCTGTATTACGCACACCTTAGTCTCCAGAGTGACACCATTGCTCTTCAGTACTTTGGAGAGGTCCTTAACAGCAGACTTTCCCATTGCAATACATCTTTTAATTTCCTGGCTGCTGGTGCCAAGAGTGTTGACTGTGGAGCCAAGCAAACTAAAGTTGTTAGCAATTGCAGTCTCTTCATCATCTATACTGATGCTGTCAATTGATTGAGGATGGCCAATAGGATCTTTTTTTACCAAGCTTGGCAGAAATGGAATTTTATGTCATTCTTTATAACATTTGTTTCCTGTGTTTTGTCTTTTATAACATTTTTTTGTTTTTATGTACTTTATTGTGAATTTATCCTTTCATGAAGACAGACAACCCTTTTTTATGATTGTACCTGATTTGGGTTTAGGGTATTTTTTGTCAACATGTCCTGTTTATAAGATTTTGCAATTTTTTTATATTGTATTTTTTCCTGAATCTTTTTAACTCCTTTAAAAATACATTATTGCAGAGAGTTCTGGTGTCCTATCAGTGAGGACTTTTGCTGCCAATCTAAAAAAAGATATTTCACTATATCAAGCAACACTGTGGCACAACCTGTAGTTGGTTGTGCTGGTAAGCAAAGCTTGATGATTTTTAAATACACAACTGTTCACAGGAACTAAAATAGGCAGCCTTCAAAACCAGTGGAAGGTCCTTCTGATTCAAACTCAATACTGTTTCAGACAACACTGGCTTAAGATTTGTCCCAAGGAAAACGATAGCATGTTAACAATATATGTCTGGCAGTAAGAAAGGCCAACGTGCTAGGCAAGAGTAAAGATGACTATGATGGTTAAGACTATGTGCCAGCTTGACTGGGCCATGATTGTTAGTCATTTGAAGGTTATGTAATGATACAGTCTGACAGTTTTTTGGTGGTATATTTTGGCAGTTATACGATGATGTAGTTATTCTCTATTTTGTGATCAGATATTGTCATCCTCCATTTTTGCCTAACATTGGTTTTTGCATTAATGACTTGTTGTTACTATTACATAGTAATTTCTGATTATTGAGTTACATAGACTATGAAACTGTGAGATGCTTGTGGAATAAGAACTTGGTCTTGTTTCTTTCTCTATGTCCAGTTAATGATAGCAGCATTATAATTTCTGTAAAATGGCAGGTATCTTACTTCAACTCCAAATGGCTAACTGCAAAAACTATAGAGTACTTTTATGTACTCAGCCCAACAGAAAGAAAATGTGATTACTTTTCCATGACCATTTTTTGTTAGACGTGGCAATGGCAGAATCTTCCCTGCAGAGGGTACTGCTTACAATGTTTGATAAAGGATAGTGATGGATAGTATCCGTGTCTTATAACCTAGGAGTCTGTGGAGCTATACTGGGTTTAAATGTATTTATTTAATCTGCCCATTAAAAATACATATATATGTGTGTCTGTATATATCTATATATTTTCTTTTTCTTTTTTACCAACAGGAGTGAAACCTCGGTCTGGTTGGGCTGTTGACCCCTTTGGACATTCACCAACGATGGCTTATCTTCTGAATCGTGCAGGATTTTCTCACATGCTCATCCAGAGGGTTCATTATGCAATTAAGAAGCATTTTTCATTACATAAGACGCTGGAGTTTTTTTGGAGACAGAACTGGGGTATGTAGGATTTGATTAAAGTTGAACATCTCACTTGACCGAGATGCTATTTCACAAAGCTTATGAAGTCATGACATTATGGATTTTATTCAGTGTCAGTCCTGTAAATCAGGTTGCCTAAAGGTGTTACTGTGAGGTACTGTCGAGTTACTTCCAATTCCTAGTGTCCCTGTATGACAGGGAGAACCCATAAAGTTCTCTTGGCTGTAATCTTTATGGGAACAAATTGCTAGATCTTTCCCGTGTAGAGCTGAGCTTGAACGGCTAACTTTTTAGTTGCAGTCAAGTGTTTAACAACTGTTTCACTAGATAAATCCCCAAACATAACAAACCTACTGCCGTCAGGTTGAATCTGACCCCTGTTGACCCTTCATTGGGTTATTGAGATTGTAAAGCTTTACATGCAGTTAAGATGTTGGATGTCTAGCTATTCTCTCATATTTCATTAGCCTTCCTTTCATCTGCTTTTCTTTGCAACCTATAAGAATTGTTTGGTAATGTTGATTGTGGTGTTCTACAATAGTCCTCTGTGCTGTACAGAGGTAACTTGTGGCTGCTGTGATGTTAAACACTGTGACAATGATGTGTCAGATGCAATAATAGTTACCCATGGTGGACAGTGTTTGGTGGAGTTCCTCAGTTAAAACAAGCTTGGAAACAGGAATGGCATCTACTTCCGAAATAACTTGCCTCCGGAAGCTTTATGAAATTGGAGAAACAATGAAAGTTTTACGAGTGTTCAGGTTTGATTTATAGAGTCGCTGTGAGTCGCCTCTGACTCGAAGGCACTTAACAACAAAAACAACATAGAGAGAACTCACTTGGCCTGGTGCACAGGAAGTGATATTACCAAACCAAAGGTGGGTGACTGCAATCTGTGGCCCTCAGGCCTAGTTTTTATTGTTTTTAGTCAAGCATTCTTCTAGATTATATAGCACTGATCTGTCCATTTGCTATACAGAGATAACTCATGGTTGCTGTGATGCTGAATACTGTGCACTGATGTGTCAGATACGATAATGGTTACCCATGGCGGACAGTGTTTGGTGGAGTTCCCAATTCAAACAAGCTTGAAAGCAGGAGTGGAATCCACTTCTGAAATAGCTTGCCTCCAGAAACCCTGTGAATGTGGAGAAACGATGAAAGTTTTTATAAGTGTTCAGGTCTTTTGTTCATAGGGTCGCTATGAGTTGCCTATGACTTGAAGGCACTTAACAACAGTAGTCCTCAGGGAATTTAAGTTTAGCACAAAGGTCACATTCCACTGGAAGCTGCAAGGGAGAAAGATAAGCCATCTCCTCTTGTGCAGTTCACAGCCTCAAAAACTCGGGGGTTGGGGGGGGGGTCGGGGTCATTTAGGAGTCTGTTACAGTGAGAGATAATAGTCTTCATGGTACCAAATTCTTTATTTTCACACTGTACGTTGGGTATACACTATGGGAAGAGGAGAGTAATATTGAACACTAAGACTAAACTTTGCCTTTTCCCACCCCCATTTATTTGAGAATGTGATTTACTAGAATAGTGTTAAGGACTGTTCATTGTGTATTTCCTAATGCTTATTCTCTCACTTAATGTTCTTAGATAGCCTTTAAATTAGGTTCTGTTATCATCCCATCTAATGATAAATAAAAATATAGATATGTGAAGGTGTTTGTCAAAAATAACACAATCAGGCAAGTTCTGGTGGCCTAGTGGCAAGAAGCTGCACTGCAATCTCAGAGGTACACGGTTCAAATCCACCAGATGCTCTGCTGGAGAAGGAGGAACAATCTCCTCCTGTATCAGTCAGATCTGATTT